GTACCTGATCCCCATGGCAGGGACGACAGGCCAGACGATGGTAATCCCTGGAATTGGCGGCACAGGACTGCCGGCTGGCATGGTAGGAGTGAGTCAGATGACAACAACTGATGGTGAGGCAGGCGCTGTGGCGCTCTTTACCAACGCACAGGGCGTGTGGTATGATTACTCTGGAACGTGGGACGTGCCACTGGGGCGTGTTTGGAACGGGAAGTACTGGGTGGAGACCTAGACCGAGCAGAAGAGTGCAGGCACGCAACCTACAGTCGCAAGAGCGCGGCAACCCGAAGGGATCTGAGCGCAAAGTGCGCGACCAGCGCGACACGGATGATAGCGGCGAGGAATCCGACGTGAGCCGGCACGAAACAAGTTGAAAGCAGCTGTGAAGCAGGCACAGCCACAAAGACGAGCAGGTGGAACGACGCGACCTGGTAAGGGAGCGAGCCCGGGTTCTTATCCGTGCTTCAATTGTGGTCAGCCTGGCCATTGGTCTGCGGCGTGTCCAAACGAACCGAGGTGTTATGCGTGCAAGAAGTCCGGTCACTTCGCGAGAGACTGTCCAGATGCAGAGGCCAAGACGCGCAACGACGAACGGATGAGGCAGCGCCAGAAGATGACGAAGCCGGCGGAAAACTAGAAGCGAACGCAGTGAGGGGGCTACGGCGTTCGGTGACGACTGGTGATCCCCAACATGACGAGGCCACGATGCTAATGGTCTTAGCGAAAGTGGCGTGGTCGGTAATGCGCAAGTGGCTTTGATGGTGGGCAAGATGGACGAAATGATGAGTGTGGACTCTGGTGTGGACGCCGTGATGGAGTGTATGAAGGCGGACGCACTGAAGCAGGACGATGGGCGTGCGAGACGATATGTGTGTACGGTGAGGCCTACTCTGGCGATGGCGCGGTTTGTGCGTGTTGCTGCTGATGCAGTGTGCTCGGGTGGTGATAAAGACAAAGGACAACGAGGTGATGATAGCCATGACCGACCTAGCGACGATAACGTTTGATTCTGGTCTGGAGAAGGCGCAGGGACCAGCATGACGCACAATGTCGACGTGACGAAGGACGAGTCGAGTGGCGAAGGCGACGGCATCGCGCAGGTTCGGCTGGCGAGAATGAAGGCACGCAAGGCGGCGAAACGCGAGAAGACCAAACAAGCCAGAGAGAGTCGGCGTCGTACTGAACGAGACGTTCACGACGATCAACGAGGAACGACGAGCTGCGCGTCGACGAGAGCGAGAAGAGGCCATGGAGCAGCTCGAAGTAGGACGAGTCGTGCGAAGTGACGAGGCGCGCGTACAGGTTGGCGGTGAGCCGGCACGGGTGAGCCTGGTGCAACACCGAGACGCGGAACGGAAGGGCGTGGACAACGTGGAGCCGATGACGGACTCCCTACAGCTCTGATGAGCATCGACGGTGTGCGACGCAGTTCAAGCTCGATAGTGGAGCGAGATATACTGTGGCTGGTACTGACTGGATGCAGTTTGGAGATCGCGTAGAGACGACGGCGCCAGTGGACTACGTGGAGAGCATTGGTGGCTTCCTGCTCGACGTAGTCGGAGTGTGGCACTTCAACATGTACAACGTGTTTGGCGAGGTGATCAGTGTTGACGCTTGCATCGTTAAAGGCTGTAACGACGAATTTCTATTTGGAGTGGACTTTATGCGCACCCATGGCTCTACCATGGACTTCCACAACAACGAGATACGCTACAGTGACGGTGGACTGCGCGTGGTCATACCGTTCAAGACGTTTGACAAGGCCGGAGGTGCCAAGATCGCTGTGGTGCGTATGGCCAGGACGACGCGGTTGGACGGCACTGCTGTGACTCCGGTGGAGGTGGCGATAACTGCAGACGACAGGGAGCAAGGGCTGTTCGTGCCAACGCAGCACGTCGGGCCTCTGATGTTGGCGGCGACCGTGACGAGAGCGAAGAATGGCAAGGCTTGGGTACTTGCGATTAACTCGAGTGATGAACAAACACGATTACCGGTGAAGTGAGAACTAGGAACGTGGATCCCGATAGACGAGGACATGTATGTATTGGAAGTCAATGGAGAGTTACAACGTGAACGACTTCATGTTTGGCTGCGTGAGTTGGGTGATGTCGACGAGCCCTTGGCCAACGATGAAGACGTGCACATCGGTGAGACTGACGCTGAAAGCCGGCAATTTGTACTGCAACTACTGAGAGCGTACCGGACGACGACGGAGAACATCCACCTGCCACTACGCTCAATATAGAGCACCACCTCGACACGGGCGACGCAGCACCCATCATGATGAAGCGGCGACGAACTGCACAGATGGAGGATGTCATAGTGGAGGATAATGTAAAGAAGATATTATTGGCAGGCGTCATAGAAGAAGGTGAGGACGCTTGGGGTTTCCCGTGGTGCTCGTCAGAAAGAAGGATGGCGAAGTGCGTTTCTGTATCGATTATAGAGCGCTCAACAAGGTGACGAACAAGGACTTGTACCCGTTGCCACGAATTGACGAGACTCTGGAGGCAATGGGCGGCGCGTTGCTGTTTACGACACTCGACTTGAAGGCCGGGTACTGGCAGATACACGTTGCAGCCAAGGACAAGGTCAAGACGTTGTTCATGACAAAACACGACCTGTATCAGTGCGTACGGATGTCGTTTGGGTTGACCAACGCTCCATCGACCTTTCAACGTATGATGAATAGCGTGTTGAGAGGGCTTACGTGGCTCACTTGTCTGGTTTACCTAGATGATATCGTGGTCTTTACTCGTGATGGTATCGAGCGTCATGTGCTCGAGTTGGCGTGCATGTTGGAGCGTCTAGAGGCGGCGAGCCTCACACTCAAGCTCAAGAAGCGTGTGTTTGCAGCAAAGAAGATTGAGTACTTGGGGCACGAGCTCAGCTCCGATGGCGTGCGGCCACTGGAACGATTGGTGACGGTGGTGAAAAATTTCCACGGCCGGTTGACGCGGTGGAGGTCAAGCTGTTTGTACACTTGGCTGGCTATTATAGACGTTTCATTGACGGGTTTGTCTCCCTCACGGCGCCGATGACGGAGCTGTAACGCAAGGACGCACCCTGGGAATGGACGGCGGCACGGCAGTCAGCCTTTGAACACGGGAAGGCGGTCTTGACGACTAAGCCCTTGCTCATTTACCCGACCTTTGCACTGCCGTTCAGATTGGTAACAGACGCGAGCAAGGTGGGGCTCGGCGCCTGCTTGATGCAAGACCACGGCGATGGATGGCAGCCAATGGCTTACGCAAGCAAGGTGAATAGTGTGACTGAAGCGAATTATGGAATTACTGAGCTGGAATGTTTGGCAGTCGTGTGGTTCATTAAATTGTTTAGACCCAACTTGTACGGTCGTAAGTTCACGATCGTGACTGATTATGCAGCGTTGAAGTGGTTGATGTCCAGCCCAAACTTGACTGGAAAGTTGCACCGGTGGGCGTTGGCACTTCAGGAGTTCGAGTTTGATGTGGAGTACGGACCGGGCAGTACTAATGTGGTTGCAGATGCTCTGTCAAGAGCACCGGTGAAAATGGCGTCAGCAGTTGGTAGACGACGGCGTGCCAAGCAGCGCGCTGCGGCCGACAAGACGGCTTCTGCTATAAACGACGTCGTCGGTGTGATGAACGAGATGAGCGTGGCGAGTGAAGCAAGTGGTGCGAACGTGATAGTACTACGGACGCGGAAAGCGTGACCGACGTGACGAACGGCACAAAAGTTGCACCGGACGGCAGCACGTCTGTCGCCGCGAGCGTGTCGAGCGCGGCAGCAAAGGATGCGAGTGACCCTCTGGGCACTGAGGATGGTAGCGTGGTGAGTGCAACTCCAGACGAGCGGCCAAGCGGAGCACCAGACGACGGGCAGGCCTTATCGAGGCACGAACCTCACGGTGAGCCAGCGGTGGCAGAGACGACTGGTGAGGACTCGGTGGGCGCGCAGTTGGCAACGACGGAGATTGTGACTGGAACAGGACAGCAACCTCGATCCTGAAGCCCAGGAAGAGATGATCAAGGCTGGAGGAGGCGAGTGATAACCTCGATACGACGGAGGCAACTGGAGCTACGGGTCCGCTGACTCGAGCCGCACGACGACGTCTGGAAGCGACGCGGGCGACGGAGACAACGCTTCGAGCGGCGAGCAGTGGAGCAACGATCGAGAGCAACGATGGAGCAAACGGCGAGCCGGATGTGCCGGTATGGACCCAGAAAGCGAGTGGTGCTGGGCTTGGTGACGACGGTGACGGCGTCGACAACCCGAAGAGCGTGACGAGCGACCTAAACAACGACACGTACGGTTCGGCGTGCCAAGTGAGCACAACACGGACACCACGACGGTGAGCGACACTAAGTCAAGACGGCGGGGACGGACGAAGTGGCCGAGGCCGCACAAGCGCGAGCGTCAGCACCGGTGGCAACGAGCGCGATGGGTGAAGGCACGGAACAACGTGCTCGAGTGGAACTGAAGTCATTGGTGAGGTGACTGTAGCTTGATGCCCCTAACATGCCTTACAACACGTACTTGACGCTGGTGAAGAAGCGCGGCACGTTCATCATGGTGGGCATCCCCAATGACGACGCGAAAATCAGTCCGATGTTAGTGGTGGCCAAGGGCATCACGTGGGTGGGCAGTCTCGTTGGTTCCCTGCAGGACACCACGGATATTGTAACGGGCCAATTATCTCGTCCTGCCGTGGGGCGGGTCGTCGCTCCACAGTGCTGCGCTGCGGCGTCCGCTACCACTAGAACGTAGCAGTTCTTAAAGCAACAATACACAATGCTGGCCGACAGGGTCAACTTGACCCTGCGCCGGAACGTACACCACCTGTGTTCGCTCCTACTTTATTTACCAATAAGTCGCCTTAGTCAACTGCTAATGCCACCTACGTTATCAACAAAGCTTGTCCTGGGGCTGCACACACACGTTGGCTCCTCCGTCGCGTGCGCTCCACCCGTGAACTAACTCACAACAACTCCAAGCGATGTGCACTGGATTCCCCGTCAGCACACACCACCAACTCGTCACCGTCTCTAGCTTGCACCGGATTCCCCGTGAGCACTTGCCACACGGCGTCGTCTCCCGTGACTCTCGCGTCATCCACTGCCTGGTCGTCCAAGCCACAGTCTGTGCCCTCCAGAGCACAATTCACACTGAGCGGCTCTCACCGCTCACCGCACTTCGCACACTGGATTCCCCGTGGTGTGTAGGCCGCACGTACTGCACTTCAATGCCATTTGGGCATCTCCCGTGCCGCACGTCGCCCTCACACGCCCCGTTGTCGCCGTGCGTGTGGCCTGTGTCCAACTGACACGGCCCGTACCACTCATGCATCCTATCATCATCTGGACCGGCTACACTGTGGTCCACACGACCACCGATCCGTTACACGCCTTCATCCAACACAGAGTCTTCCAAGACTCTGTCGGCTGCAAACAACTCATCGTACCCTGCCGCGGAGACCCAGGCGCGCTCTGCATCTCCAAGTGTGCGCCGATCTTGTCGTGCAGGCTGCAATTCGTACTCGAGTACGTAGTGATCGGCTTTGTTTCGTCGTCGCCGTCGTCTCCGCACTTCCATCAATGGTTCACTCGTACGTCTCCATGCTGTCTCACTGCCCATTGCTCGCTCTTTTCTTTTTTCCAGTACTAACCGTTGTGACTGATTGCACAGGCGCCGACGCTGCATCAACAACTGCTCCTGCCGTCGTGCCATCGGTCTCGAACCCGACTTCGCATTCATACTCGAGTTGTGAGTTGATGTCGGCTGCAGCTCATTTTAGCAAATCCACAGGGTCGTGCTGATTTTCGATCTGGCGGCAGTGTGTGTGCTCTGCCCGTTGAGGAGGACATCTTCAAGGCACAGGACACTACTAGTGACACGCACCAGGGTGACGAGGACCTCGACAACTGCCTTGGGGTCCACTTCACGCAGGAGTTCAAGAACAAGCCTCCTGGAGATTAGAACCAGCGTGCTTTTTGTCGTCTGCGGATGAGCTGCGAACATGCGAACCGTGCGCTGTCTGGTATCCACTTCAACTCGACCGCTACTCATGCTCGCTTCGAGGATAAGTGCGGCGACAACATCCGCAAGACGACGGAGCCCGTGAAGACGGTGCTGCGCGACGCCAAGCTGCCGAAGAACCAGGTGCACAAGGTGGAGCTGGCCGGCGACTCGGAGCGATTCCATAACGTGCAGCAGCTTCTGTCGTACTTCTTCAACGGCACGGAGCCCACCAAGTTGATCAACCCGGTCGAGTGTATGGCGTACGGTGCAACCGTGGTGGAGACCATGCCGAGCGGCAACGACTCGTCTGAGAATCTGCAGGTCCAATTTTTGTGGACGTGGTGCTGCTTTCACTGGATCTGGAGGCGGGGAACGAGCAGTTTTTAGAGGCGAAGACTTGGCTGGAGAGCTACGCCTACAGTGTGTGAGCTTGAAAACGAGAAGCTGAAGGAGAAGATTCAGGAAGCCGACGGAAACGTGGCGGACAACGACATAACGGAAATGATCCAGTTGTTGGACAAGAATTATTCGTTGGAGAAGGAGGAATAGAAACTTAAGGAAATCGAAGGCGTGTCTAAACCACTGATGCAGAAAATGATTGTGTTGGGCTGAAAGTTTGGCGCAGATTTCTATTACTGTAGATTACTGTTACTTCGTTGAGTGGCACCGTGTATATACTAATACGGTCTTGTTCCCGCAAAACTCCACGTCCTGGAAGATAGACAATCCTCCAAAAAAGACATATCAGCACCCTGTGTTTGCCGAGCCAGTACTGTCGAAAGACTAAGGAGTATAGGTTGAAAAGCGATGTTTTGTTGACCCACTTCTTGGATTGTTGCTGAAGCAGAATTATTCAGGTCGATTCGCTCACTGAATGTAGGGTGTCGAGCTGTACCAGAAATGCCATGATTCTTTTTGTGACTTGACGTCTTGCGGCGTTTGGGTTTGCTACATCTTGCTGGTGCAGGCTCTAGAACTCTTATTTCTCGCTCTTGATCGAATTGATTTTGTCATTTGTTTTATACCCAATAAAGCACTGTACAATTTCGTCATAATCTGTACTCATTTTTTCTAATTGAGGGTTTTTGGACTCTCTCTTGCAGCCTCGAGCTCCGAAACCTCGAGCTCCATAGTTTTTCCCTTTTTTTTAGGTAATAAACCAACGATGATGAGGGGTTATTGTCCCTGTCTTTGGCTGGGGCCGGGGCCCCGTCTTTGAAGGCTTTGGCGCACGTGAGAACTGGAGAGAAATAACAGTCCAACTCGACTTTTAACCAATAGTATTCATCCTTTTCTTCAGAGCCCATCAAGCCTCAACACACCACACCCGCGGGAGTCAAGCCGATATGCGTTGCCACCGAGCCTTTTGGGTGTACGCAGGTAACAATGGAGAGCGCATCTCCAAGAAAGCAGCAACGTTTGCACAACAACCAGCTGCTCAAGAGCAACCTGGCGCTAACAAGACCGCTGAAAACTGGCTTCGTAGTCGCGCAGGGAGGTCTCTCAAAGATGCCTGACTTAAAGAGCCCCCCTGAAACAAGGCAGAAATACTACTTGGAGAATCCAGACGGCGGCTTTCCTCTTGAAGAGTACCCTACAGTCTTTCGCGATGGTCGCACAGACCGTAGCCGCTACCCTAGAATGATATGCGCTGACGTCGAACGCCCTCAGGTCCTCCAAAACAGCGTCCATGGAGCTCAAGACAGGGCCAACATGCCGATCGACCTGTCGGTCAGCGAACAGCTCAGAGGCTTCGAGAGGCAGCGTAAAGAGCTGTTGCGAGCGGTGTTTGACGCGGAAACGACGGCGTTGGCGTTCGCCACGAACCAAAAGGATATTCACCTAGTTATTTCTCGTTCGGCCGCGTTAGTGGATATTTGGGAGGTCAAATCGCGGTGATGGTGCCCGCGCAAATAAGAGCGTCGGTTTTGAGCGTTATAGCGGAAGTGGCCATGCATGTAAAGGGTGCAGCGACACAAATGGTCATGTATTCTGACGATGAAGCGAAAGATGCGTTGCTCCAGTCGCAGACTTGCGTTATCAACGCAAACACATCTCTTGAGAAGTACGTATGTGATGCAGCAGAAACTAGTCAAATATTTGCAAGTATTTATGAAGGGAGAGAACATTACACGGCCAAGACAACAAAGCATTTGAAGAACTTGTATTGGATGGGAAAAGAGAGGCTGGAAGAGATTCTACAAGACACTGGAGACCGGCCAGCAAATATTACCCTGGTTAATCCTGCAGCACAGTATCAATTGGCGATGGCTACGACAGTGAGTGATGCATCTGTAGCTCTAGAGGCCCCGGTTCGAGCATCATCCCCTGATGAAGTTGCACCTGCTCACCGACGCAAGCGGCTAAAGATCCCTCCAGTAACTCCTCAGAGTAGCCTCCCTTCAGTATCAAATTTGTTGAGTGAAGATGCCCGTGACGTTAGTGCTGATGTATCCACCGCTGCAGTTGGTGGTGATGCATCTAGTGGTGGCAATGATTGTGGGAATGAGCCTGGCAGTGATGAAGATCTGAACAGGAGTGAAGAGATTGCTGTTGACAGTAACAGCGATGCAGAATTTTCGAATGGTGGAGATATGGAGAGTGACGAGTCTAGCAATTCTGATGAAAGCGTTTTCGAAGATGCCAATGTGGAGAAAGCTGACACAAGTGTTCCACATCGGTTTTTCAGGAAACGCTTTCCAAAAGATAACGCTATACTAGTTTGGGCAGATCTTGAGGACAGTGGAAATTCTCGGACTGTGCACGCCTACCCGTCAGATTTGAACAGCTTAGAAGCAGATGCTTCATTGACTCAAACTGCGTTGGATTTTTTCATTTACCGCGACTTGCCTCGGGAAAATGGGGTGGTTTATCCTTGTGGGTCAGGACTAGACGTGTTGATGGAGAGAGCTAGACGCACACGTAAGGCAGTTACGCATCATCGATTATTTGGTGATTTGGTCGCACTATTCAATTGGTCATACCAATGCCTGCTGCTACCTGTGTCTGGCGGGAATCATTGGAGCTTTTTGGTAATTGAGAATTTCATGCACGCTGGCCCCACGAAAGTTTATCATGTAAACTCAATGAGGAAGGCTCACAGTTCAGCGTACGCATTTGATATCCTCAATTGGTTCTTGGCAAAAGTCCATCAAGCCAAATCAGATGCAACAACTACTTTTGAATGTAGTACGTTTGTCCACGACACAAAACCACAACAATCAAACTGTGCAGACTGTGGGCTTTACGTTCTTCACTACATGGATGCGATTTCAAAGCGGATAGTAGCTGAGAAGCCAAGCTCGATAGAGGATTCAATCGCAGGGTTGACTACTGGGAAATTTAACGCCACCAAAGCATCCGTTTACCGCACACAACTTTATAGGGCACTCATGCCGAAGTGAACAAGTTAAACGACAACAAAGTGCATATAATGACACAACAAAAACACGTGACATTATTCAGTTTCATACTTGTTGTGTAAAACAAATAACAAGTCGCTGAAGATTTTTCAAAGTCGCACTACGGTACCACACAGTCACACAGCGGTGCCGCCCAATACCGCAAAGTGACGCCGCGGTACCACCTAATACCGCTCTGACACACTGAGGTACCGCGCAGTAACGGTCACTTTACGATACCACATAGTCAAAGGGATCCTGGCGATTACAGAGGTTGTCCACGGTGACTGATCCACCGTTGGGTAGCAACTTGATCCAGCGAGATCCGTGCAATCAGGCGGCTCTTCACTTCACCATGAATTAGAGCAATGTTCTTGGAAAGCCAATTGAGCGTCTTTCTTCGCGTTTTGCGGGTGTCATCCGCGTAGTGTACAGCCAACTTAGTTGCTACGTCCGCCCCAACGCAGGCATCACGCTGGTCTTCGCGAGATAATTGCTGAACAAAGTTGAGAACAGATCTACAGCGATTGAAAAACCGTCTTTCATCAGCGTCGCACCACTTCGTACCGTAGCGTTCTTCCAGCTCTCTTACGGGTGTACCCCCGTCAAAACCCACACTCCATTCTTCCCAAAGCTCTTTGACAGACTCCAAACCTCTACGCATTTTATAATGTGACGTTGAGGGTTTATCACTACGAGCCTCAGATGTGACAGTCGAGCTGCAACTAGGAAATGCTGCGACACTGCTAGCTTGATTCGAAACCAGCTTGACCTGAAGTATAGCGGTTCCTCCTCGAAGCGGTTCGAGCGTGCGCAATATGTCGGCGATGTTCCATTCTATTGCGTCGACTGTTGAACGTACGCGATCAATAGATGTTTTAAAGTCTTGATGTGCACCATCCAGCTTGGCCTTCAAAATGGGCATCGCCTTTTGCAACCTTTGATCAGCCGGATTTTCCATTGTAGATATAGTTTTTCGAGTTTCACCTTTGAATTTCATGAATTCGTCCGAGGAAAAAATATCGTGCTGCCACACTGGATGATGTGGAGTTAAATCTTGTAAGAAGACGGCATCCTGTAGAATAACCTTGCGAAGATATTGAAGTAATTCTAGAAAACTTCCGGCGGCGATGGACTGTTCAGCTTTACCGTCGTTAATTGCATGTTGCCACTTCTCAACCTGAGGAAAGATCATACTCTGTAAAACGCTAGGAGGTTCCGCAGACGCGCGTGCAACAAAAAAATTCCCTCGAGAAGGCTCAAAGCCGGCAAGCGTGCGCATAGCTTCGCGTGGAAGAGACGTGAGATAGCATTTCTCCATGGCTTGAGTATTCCAACGACCTAAACGTCGAAGTTGAGATTCGCTTGCACCACCTAGATCTGCCATACGAGATCCAGACCCACGCCCAACATGGGCTTTAGCCTTACTGCGGATTCCAACATGATTAAGTGCAGCTGTAATAGCCTCTCTGTGTACTTTGTACAACATCGTTTTCTTAGGATCTTTTCCTGTTTGGAGGAGCTTCAATGGGTACCAGCGATCCGAGGAGGTGAAGTCAGGAAACGCCTCTCCATCCACATGCCAACGCCAAAACAAATACAAACCCAACAACCCGTGGGGACAGATCTCCACAATCTTGTTACGCATACAAGCACCAACTTCAATGCGACCCACTTGATTTGTTTTACCTTGACGCATCACCATAACTATGGCTCGACACGGACTATAGCCCTCGTTCTCCAACATAATTGAATGTAAATTAGCCAATTCTAGCATCCGGGCGGACTCACCTCTCATTAGAGCATAGTGGCTCACGAGAAACGCCAAAAGATTCCGTAAGTTCGTTCCTGCCTCACGTGACATTGCCCAAAAGTACCTAGCAATTTGCTGGATTTGTTCTGTTGTTGTATATCCATCTAGTAATGTATCAGCTCCTCGGTCCTCAAAATTCTTTCGTTTGCGCTCGTCTTCTTCAAACTGGGTCAGTTTTAGCAGCGATGTCACTGCAGCGTTACGTGGTAAAGGATAACTATTGATTCCGGCCTGGACTTGTTGTTTCCACAGATCAACCATGGCTGCAACGTAAAGATTAACAGATGCGCGGTCCACCCTATCGGCTTGTTTCGTAGCACTTTTCTGGCGCTTACGTTTACCAATAACGCATTCTTCCAGGAAGAGATGTAGTTTTTCACCCGTCACAGTGAAGCGAGTCAAGTCGTTAAATGAGTTACCCTTGTATGTGCACCACTCCAGAAACTCCTGCTGACGCTTGTCGTAGGAACGGGTTGTACTCTTGGGTCTTAACTCCTTTGCCTTTGCGTACGTCCTCTGTATAGACTCCTGCATCTCCACAGACATCCTTGCTTCTGTCGCCATGATCTGTACCTGGATTGCTACGCTATCGCTCTTCTTCTCTCGCCTGGAAATGGCCGATAGAGGGCTGGCCGGCTCCAATATTGGAGTTAGCCAATCATAACACAGAAGACCAGACGGACTGATAACTGGTTATTCTACCCTACACACGGATTTTAACTTAACTTAATTCGCCTGCTATGCACATGCGTAATCGGTCCCGGTCCGGACCGCGGGAGCGATAATGCATTTTATCCACCTTCATCATCATCGATGATGTCGTAAAGGAGATTGTGCGCCAACATTGAACCCCCCCCCC